TTATTTGGGCGAATATTAAGCGATAAACAATGGAATTGAGGGTGTGGGCATGTATAGAGCTACCATGATGTCGGCATTTCATCGCAGCAACAAGAATCTTCAGATAATTTATATGCTTAATTGTCGATGGAACATGGAAGTTACGTCGTTCAATGTATGAGAATAAATCAGTTTATCGCAATGACCTTATATTTGATCTAATCGAAACCGGTTCTCCAAATACTCGTAAGTTAACCTTTACCTTCTTATCACATTCAATTTTAACCCAATTATAGCTTCATATAAACGTATATATTGCAAGGAATGCAAAGATACATGTGTCAATATCGATAAAGAAACGTTAAAACAAGTAAAGACTCAACAAAGAAAATTTGATCAACAAAACGAAAAATTGATATTGTACATGCTTTAACTGGAATAATCGAACAAAACGCTTGAGTGACTTGCGCCAGATATATATATATCATTTAGTTATCGTGTAACCTTAAAAAGGACGACATTTCTTCAGTTGATCTGCGGATACGAGCTATGGAAGTACTGATTGTTGGAACGAACAAAAACATAATTCTTAGTATTGCTGAACTTATCTGCACAGAAAGTTGAAAAGAATTCTGGATCTTCTTACACATGTTTTCACATGTAATCAACAGCTATCCCGACCAACTGTATACGATGCAGGTAAGAATAATGTATGATTTCAGCTTCGACTCGATGAAAGTTTTACCTAATAGTTTTTACAAAGTAGTTCACAAAAAATGATGATATTATAGATACGAACAAGATGTTCAGAAAAGCTTTCTCTCTACGCTTTTTTCCTATGTTAACTCAGTTCATCGACTGTATCCCATTTGCATGACGTTCTTTAGGAGAAAAAATATATTATTATATATATTTTTATTGAGCGATGTATTTCCTTGTTCATCTATTTTTGACAGTCATATTTCTGTAGCCTGTACCTCATCTCAATTTTCAAAACGGAAAACTCAGTCTATCTCATATTTTATAAACTCATGTTGTCGTTACCTTTGTATCATGAATATTCATACTCACATTAGACACTCACCCAATATTTTCTTGTTTCTCTTGAATTGAACACTTCTTCAATTACTGTTTTCAAGTAAATCTACAACACGTGAATTATTTTAGCAATATTTAAATTTTAGCAAGTATCTCTTTAGAAAACAGTAGAAGAAACCTACAACATAACTAATGCCTCCATCAGTTTAGCTTTTGTATTGCAAAAACATGTTATCAATCAGTACTCAAAAGGATTTATGAAAAAAACATCAGCCACAATGCTTGTAGCAACGGCAAGACATCTGATTGATCGATTCCATTTGACAAACCACAAAAAAGTAACCCTTGTGTTCCTCGAACTAAATTTCCTAATCATTCGATTCGAACTCTTGAGTATCATAATGTGAATCTTGCAAAAAGCCATGAGACAACGCAATTTCTACATAGCCTCTTTACTCTTCACTGTGACTACTCAACAAAGAAAGAGGGAAGCCTCCCAAGAAAAGCGCCAATCGTCGCTAACTAACATTTTTACACAGGATCTTAGCAACCCGAAAATTCACACAAAGAACAGCAACTACGTGCTCACAAAAGAAAAATCACAGACACTACCATATCATTCCAAATCTGATATGATTCGATTCATATATCTATCATTCTAGCACAAGATCCGGTTACTTTCACACGCTACCATAACGTAGTGATACTCTAACAGCAATATAAAGAGCTCAATCATACAACTGCGTCCTAATCCGCCGCGAATACATCCCTATCTCAGAGAAAGCCAATCAAACAGTGAAGTACCCATACTTCTCCCAAGCAAGCATCTATGAATAGATATTAATGTAATCGACCTATCCAGCAATAAACCACTCACACTAACCTCCACCTAACATTACACAGCACAACCTCTGAAACCAAGTTACTTTCACCTCATGTAGCAGGCGTAACTAGTCTGTTCGCTCTTCCGTGCCATCCACACATGTGCGATGTGTTTTGTGTGTGTTGGCGTTTGCTTTAGTGCGCAATGAAATCATCGGAAAGTTTTACGCTTGCTTTTCGGAAGAAGGCACGTAAGTAGAAACATTATGTGATTCAATGTGTTTGTTGTTTTAGCGTAGCTGGAGTGTAGGTATCGATCTTCTCCTCACTTGTACTCACATCCACACCCACACTCTCAATATCATTGATTGTTAAATACTTTTCGCTTAGCTTAATTGAGATGGATGCAGTAGTTTGATTTTGCTGCTAATGAAAGATCTAATTTTTGAGCAACTAATCTAAACTTTTTGTTCTTCTATGGCAATGAGGAATGATGTCAATATGGAAGAAGGAAAAAAATATTTTATCATCGCGTTTCTTTCATATCGATATGTATATAATTAATCGAGTAGTTGAATAGAAAGAAAATAACACATTATTTCGGTTGACTAACTCTGACGATTTGTTTTTGTCACATAATGAATATAAACTAGGATGTAATTAGTGCAGGCAAGTTAGAAATACTTTGTTCAAGTATAAAATTTAAGATATTTTTATTACAATCACTTTTTTCCGTCAAGTAGATATGTGTACTTTGACTGATTGGCTAGTTTCAATTGAAAAATAAATATTGCATTTGCCTACAACCATTAAGTTCTTTTTTCCTTTCCATCAAGTTTTATTTTTTGTCATAGTTTTTTTAAGAATGCGAACGTAAGGATATTCAATGATTGACTAATTTTGATTGATAAGTAATTAATTTTTTTCCCTATAAATTAAAGATTAACTTCTTTCTTTATTTTGATTGCACATATTAAGGTTTCCGAAAAAGGAAACTTCCATTCTCGCAGAAGTTCCCCAAATTATGAAGATATATGTCAACAACAATACCGAGAAATTTTCTCCAAAATTTCAATATTTCTAAAGAATATAATTTCTACAAAATTTATTTGAACATATCTATAGATATGATAGCGAAAAGAAGGGTGTGGATGTTGATCTTTCGTACTACCACATCCATATTCACACCGTACCGACACTCTCACTAGCACTTCACACCCGAGAAACAATAGAATTATGTCAAAATTCCCTTTTGATTTTGTAAATTCTTGATAGAATTTTATTTCTACAACTAGAGAGATCTGCTTTTGTAGCTCTTCCTTCGCGACATTAAAATTGTGCTTCGTCTTTAGAAACGTTAGCAGAATATTGACAACTTTTGCATTCTATGTAACTTGTAAAATAAATGTTTGTGAAGGTATTAATCTATGCAATTTTTAATAATCTCAGTTTGCTTTTATGTTTTTTTAGTTTTTTCTACTATACACGATGGTATGTCAGTAAGTAACAATAAACCCATCATTCACTTTATTTTAGAGTGTAGGGGTGGAAAAAGAAATGTAAATATACTCACACTCACATCCACGGTATCGGAGATTTGGGCGTATTCCTTCATCTCATCGAACCGTGATTACGTATCTTTTCAAATCATTCACATTGTGCAGAGCTCATTGTAACAAACTGATCGAGTATTGAGCTTGTTACAATGCTCTTGCATAGAGTTCCTTAAGTCTTATGAGTAAAGCCTGAAGCTAGAAATTAATGCATTTTCAAACATGTCGATGGCTAAATCATCCTTTCCTAGATGAGAATAACTTGATGCTAAATTACCGTAGCCTATAATCAGATCCGGATGACGTTTTGGCAATATTTTTTATTGATTTCCAATGCTTTTTCAAGATATTTTATTGTTGTTGACCAATTCGACCTGTTATAATATAAGCCACCAATTTTTGAAAGAACTGTTGCTGTTTGTGAATGATTTTCTGGTAATGATTGATTGCATATTTTGAGTGATTCCTCATAGAAAATCAAAGCTTTCTCATCATCACCAATCTGTTCCAAACAATGACCAATATTATAAAATAACATTACATAGCTGGAATGAACGATCGGTAAACACTTTTGTTTGAATTCAAGCGCTTTATTCAGATAACAAAGAGCGCATTCGTGATTGCTGATCTTGATGAACAATACGTCAAGACTATTAATGATGTCAGTAATGCACTCAAGCGTTTTTGGATGATTATCGATCTGAAGTAGCTGAAAAAGAATTCGAAACCCTGTTTCATAGTAATCTACCGCTTTTTGAGTTTGACCCATATGAGCATAAATACCAGCATATTATTATATAACATGGCAGTATGTGGATAAATTTCGGATAATTTTTTTTTATTTATATTCATTGATGTTTCATAAGCATTTAATGCTTCTTCATACTTTGATTCATCCTTGGCCATTGCACCAAGGTTATTGTAAACAGATGAAACTTCAACACTATCCTCTAACGAACTTTCTAGTATAAGATTATAATAACGTTTTGCTTTTTCCATTTCTCTCATATCTTGTAAAATTCTTCTTAAGACCACCACCGTTTCTTTTTTTCTCAGGATCATTTTTTGATAATCAATAAGTTCAATTAATCGTTTATCTTCTTGTTCCGTAAATATGAGTTTTACAATCCATACATTATTTTCAATATCAACAAAGACGATTCGAAATATTGTACCCATCGATAGGAGGATTTCATTTTCATCCTTCATATAACTATGTTTGCTAACATCAGCAAATGGTTTGGATTTATGACAGCGAGTTGTATCCATAGTCATTTCAAATAGAACAGAACGCTCATATGCTGGCCGATTTGTACCATCATCAGCGAATATGGAAGCCACTTCTTCATCAGTGGTTGTCGATAAAAATGTATTTATCGATATTAACTGACCAATATTTTCTTTCAAATATTCTAATTCGATTAAATCTAGACTTTGACCACGATAGACAGTTAAACTTGATGAAAAACGTTGTGCGGTATATAAAGATAGAGGTCGACAATAAAAAAGCGAAATTTAAATATATTATCAATATCTTCTTTTCGGAATGCTTGATTCAATAGACGAAAAAGAAAACAATTTCGTGTATACCAAGAAACAGCATTGGTCGATTCATAACATGTATCAAATTCGTTGATTTTTTTCTTGTTCCATTTCGTTTCCTTTATAGCACTTTCGAGTGATTGCTATTGAATCAGATTTGGCACTTTCAGTTGATGATGGTATTCGTATTAGTACATCAATCAATAATTGATACCAAATAAATAAGGCATTTCCACTCGTCGTTAAATTACGTATTGATTTTTCTTGGTTATTCGAAAATATTGATAGAGATAATGAATTGTTTTGACTGCTATTGATTAACTCATCAATAGTTATTAGATCGTTGTGAGATTATACGAAAAATATAGTTTGCCAACGTCTTGAATATGAATATTACTTCCATGGGCATAGATTTTTCTAATTTGCTTCAAGTCGTAAATTAGAGGAATAAGATAATCAACGAAAACGCCTGATATAATTAAATAAAACTTATCTTCGAGTCTCGATGTTATATAATCTATACATTTATCAGCATTATCAAAGAGTTTCCAATCTTTCGTCAAATATCGATTTCTCGCTGTCCATTCATTTGCATAATGAAAAATATTGAGATCAAGCCATATGATAATCAACTTGCTTCCCATTCAGTCAAAAGGCACGCAGACAAACCGTTGCTTTTAAAAAAGCAGAACGTAAATGACTTTTTGCACATTTTATAATAGAACAAAGTAAAAATAAAAACACAAATGTACCGTTGAAAAGAAAATTATTCAAAGCATGGCCACGTTTTCTCCACTGCTACTATAGTTACCGAAATAAACAGTCTCGATCTTTCGAGCAAACAATTATAACTGAAATGATAACATAGTGGATCAACCATAAAAGTATAACGATTGTGCATTGCTACTTTTCTTTATTCTAACAATCTCGAGAATGATGAATCTTGTTGAATTTCAAATCCTAATCCAAATATTTGCACTCCGTGCATATTTATTTTCGGTGATTTACTCTCATTGAACGAACGAAAATATCTGTATCATCCTGATGATGAATATGACGATGAGAAAAGAGCGTAGATGTGGATGTAGGTTTGGGTGCAGGTGTCATCGATGGCTGTGCGTATGCAATTGAAGAAAAGCTACACCCACACTCACACCCACCCAGCCACAGCCGCACCCACCTACATCCAAAATCGCAATAGTATCAAAAGAAAGATGAGTATATAAGCAAGTTTTTGTAAAAGTTTCATTGAGATAAAATTTTTATTATTGAGATAATGTCATTTCAAGTTTTCATATCTATATATACTATAGGTTGTTAGTGACCGTATTGCAGTTTTTATTCGATCCCTAAAAAGTTTTAAAAGATGATGATTAAGGCAATTAGAAGGTCTGTAAGACTGCTTCTAAATATGAAATCAAAATTTCAAAACCTTCTTCCGTAGCAGAGAAAAGTGAGGTTCAGGGGTCCCAATTGACTCTTGCCATATAATCATAGAGATATTTGCTTATCTATGTAAATAAAAGTCTGTGGGAAAAAACAATATTTCTAAATGTGTAATTGAGTCCAAGCTACAAAATGATGACATAAAAATGGCATCTTAGGCGAGTGGCAGATTTGTCACCTTAATATGCGAGGTCCTTTTGTTTTACATGCAGAGATTGAATTGTAATATTCCTTTCAACATTTATTTAATGATTGATTTAATTCGACTATTAAGACTAAATTATCAACACTGGCATCAGTCATTGATTGTTCGATCGAAAATCTAACCATTTAAGAGTTGCATTATGTCGAGCTAGTACATCAGCAAACATTTTCAATCCATTATCACTTATCTGATTGTGATAAAGCCAAAGAAGTCGTAATGTTGGATTTGTTTTGAGAGTTTCGGCGAGATACTCAGCATCTTTATCTGTGATATCACTTTTCGAAACACTCAACGATGTTAAAACTGAATGATTTAGAGCAAATAAACTCCCAGATCAACATTCGCACTCACACCCACCCGAACAACATCAATAGCGACAAAAAAAATAACAGATTTCAAGGTACAGTGATTATACACTATACCCATGAAAAAAGATATGTATAAAATTTTTCGTGAAGCATTTCAACGTTTTGGTGTAGAAGCCGTGAGACTCATTGTTGGTCATCGAAATAGTCCGAATTCGAACGTGAACTCATCCGTAAACGGCCACCTCTCGAGTATCTTGCATTAAAACAACAGAGAAGTAAGAATTTTCGTTTTGAGCACATTCATCTTTCTTCTTGTATTTTACTAACCACCATCGCACAACATAGTTTTCACGTTTCATAAAGTTGACAAACAATGCTCGACCACAACCCCAACCATCACCAATCATAGAATAAGCATCGAAGACGATAATGACCATGGAAATTTGAACAATTGACAATAATTAACAATATGTTTGCTTTTTCTATGCTAACAATGTTAGTTTTCTGCGTTTTTTCTTTTTCTCTCTTTCTTTCTGTCTTTCTCTCTGATTTTACTTTCGGCATTGCCATTAAATGAAAGAAAAATTCGACTTGTTGAATGATCCAATATCATCACTTTCAATAACGCACACGGGAAAAACGTTTTCAGTTTAGATGATTTGTGTCCTTCTAACAGCTATTATCTACTGCATACGACGACTCGAACAAGCGGACGTCATATTTTACTCATTCTACTATAAAAATTTCTTCAACAAAAACGAACCATGGTGAGCCACTTTCGAAATTTCTTCTCCATAGTCTACGATGTTTTCTATATACTAGATAGATACTTTTGAACATTATCAACCATTCCATTGTGGTCTTTCTTCATCTTTCATATCCACTTATTAATACAAATTATCTTATTGCATTATGATGCTTAGATCGGTTTCTATTCCTTAAGCGAAACATCCACGGATGTATTAAAACTGTCACCATTATTACTGGTATTATTATTATCGACATGCCAATGATTTTGATTATATTAGATATAGAATAAAATTCAGTCACCCATACATTAAATTTTTAGCTCGCCTACATCACTCATGTCAAATAGTTAAATCCGAAAATAACATATAACGAAATCGGTAGATTACTTGCAGCACAAAAATTTGAACTAGCAGTAAAAGCATGACGACACAATAGAGTTCACAACACAAACAGAAATCACGTTTATTCTAAGATATAATACTATTTTCACTATTCTATAATCAGAGCTCACTTATCCATTAGCAACACCGACCACAACTGAATCTCTATATATTGCACTTACCTACGCACGTAAAAAAGTTTACTAAAATAGACTGAAGAACAGACATTTTTCTCTCTTTCTAAAATACGGCACCAGTATCAATGAATATCAAACAAAATTCTTCTCTCAACAACAAATGTCATCACAATGATGTGGCTTTTTTCTCCATTTTCTTCTGCAAATGTGAGATAATAATACTCTAGCAAGTGGATGATAGAGAGAGATAACTATAGATTTCAAGGTTGTTGTGCAAGACTTTCTTCTCTTGCGTTAACCTATATTTAAAAACGGTAGTGAAACTAGAACACACTACACCTTGATCCTCTTACAACAAACTTTATTTTTTGAATCAACCATCATTCAGTGAATAATGTTTTACAAAAATTTAACAACATACGCTGTTTTTTTACTGGCCATTACACTTTGATGTATTCTATCCAATGCATCACCATTGAATATCAACACTGAAAGTAAGCCGAGTATTGCATCAAAGGCTAATTCTCTAATTAAAACTGCTGTTCTCTCTCTTTACAAAGATAACAAGACCTGTGCACACTATGAAGTTGCACACTCGAATCACTGTTATTATCTCGATGGCAGTGGTGGACATGGCCTAATTCACTAAGAACACCTAATCGAAAGCAAAATTCCATGCTAAACAATTTTTATAAGCAAGCGCATATTTGGCTTTCAATGACAGCATGCCATTCGAAAAATATTTTTATATGTTCTTCTATGTGTTCTTTCTCCTTATCTCAAAAAAAACTCCAAAACTGGATTTTGAAAGAGTTTTCCTGCGACACGGTTTCTAGAAAGTCTTCACAAAATCATTTTAAAAATTATAAATGTCGTCAATAGTTTCAAAATACTCAAAAACTCATAGCAAACTAGTTTCGGATCATATTCTGACTCTTGAAGTTGCTGGAAAAAAGCATGAGCTCAAGTTCCAGAGGAAAACCCTGAAAAATCTCTATTTTGAGATAAATTCAGCAAACCTTTACCAAAAGTTGTCGAACACACATTAATAGGTACAGTTTTTCTCACTGAATCCTAATTCGTTATTTGGCTTTAGCAAAGGTGTTTCTGGTGCCAATAAATTGCAAAAACTTCTCAAAATTGTGTTTTCTTTGGAAAACCTGTAACTTCGCTCGAAAGCGTTTGTAATATTTTATACTAACTATGTACACATACCATGTGCAAAAGAATGTTTACTAAAAGTTTCAGTTTCGCAGGAGGGTGGAGACAATAGGAAAACTTACTTCATTGAACACATATTTTCAAACAATACCTAGTGTTCGAAAAATCCGAGTTTTTTCACAGAAAAGATCTAAACAAAAAATTTATTTTATGGACCGATAGTTCAAAAGCTCAGCTTTCAAAATATGTGTAACTCACATCTTAGCTGCGTCCATGTCTGAGAGAAAATATAACTTTTGTCAAAGTAACTCAAAACTGGTAAAAAATCACGACTTTTTTCTCGACTACTTTAAGCACTCTAGGACTGAAATTTTTTCACCATTAAGCCGGTTATAGATTAATGCATATGAATCATGATTAAAATCTCAAAAAGCCTCACTCTCATTTCTTCGCCTAATATCCACTCAGTTGTCGATTGTGTATTTTGATTGTCACACTGCTTTCCATTTTTTTTATCGTCCCTCATTCTATTAATCAAACGTCCTTTATGGATGAGCTGTTTGTGCAAGTGGTTATAAAAGAGCATCAGAAGCTGTTCTAAAAACAATTGCACCTAAATTTAAAGGTAAAACATATAAATCAAAAGTCAGTGACAATTGTTGTGTATGGACATCAAATACATATGAAAATTGGGGCATGCCAGCTACTTCCTGGAATGCAGTTGGTACATTTCAATCTGGACCAGTACTTGGTGGCAGTCTTTGTACACAAGCACAACAACATTTTCCATCACAACTGACGTTTTGTGGAAGCAGTTAGAAAAGAAAAAATTGTAGAACATGGCAAGAACTCCTTTCCTTCAATCTTTTTCTTTTTTATTAACAATGTAATTTTTAACCAGAGTTAATTAATAAAAGTACTATCTTCAGTTGTTCTCTTTGTTAAATGAATTGGCAGATGTATATCAAGCTTCTGTCAATATCTTGGAACTTCACAAAGAACAAAACTCTACGACAAATAACAATCGAGAGCCTGGGAAATAGAAAACCTTTCAAATGACATTTCAGTTTTTAAAAAACTCAATGACCTGTGAATCAGAAGCTGTAGTCTGAAAAGGGTGTGAGTCTGGGCCCGAGTCTGGGTCTGGATGTGGGCGGATGTAGGTGTGAGTCTGGGTCTGGATGTGGGCGGATGTAGGTGTGAGTCTGGATCTGCGTGTGGGCGTGCGTATGGGTCTGGGTGTGGGTGTGGATAGAATGTGGATGTGCTTCTTCTTTAAACTCACACCTACATCCGCACACACACACTCACACCCACATCCGCACCCCAAACCCATCGCACACCCACACCCACACACCCAAACCTTATGAGTATATATGACAATGGTGGCCTTGAGATTTCTACCAATATGTCTTTCGATGTAGAGAATCGAGACCGATCAAGGAATTCAACGACATAACGCCAATCTGTGACAACTCTATATAGCAAAAAGTATGCTCCCGAAATTGCAGCCGAGTCAATAAATGCACTTGTTTATTGACTGTTATACCATAAAATTACCTGAATCGTATAGCACAAATGAGGAGAAAGAGAAGGATCATATAAGTTTTATGACCTTATGATATGCCATATGCATACATTACTTTCACAAGGTGTATTAGCATCATTGCGAGTCGACAAAAAGGATTAGATTGCGTTACGTTGATCAGATTTGATTCGTGCAATAAGAACGGCGAATAATCGCATCTGGATGAATAAAACTGTAGCTTTCAAAGTTTTACAAAGGTATCCCATTTCATTATTCACATCTTATGGATTGTTCTTTCATTTAGCACGCTTGTTCTAATCGTACAGAGGAACAATTATTCCATCATTTTATTATGCATTCTATCATCTTCATAGGTTACTCAAGTCGAACAATCAAACGACTTTGTACCAATCACTTGTTCTATGGGCTATTCTCTTCGGTTGTCTCTTTCTTGTTGCCGGTCCATTGGCACTCAAATTGTCCTATGCATTGCCATCGGTCGAACCGCGAACAATTCCTTCACATTTTTTCAGTGAACAACGCGCTCGTGATTACTATTCCAATCTGACTCAATATGGACCACGAGTGATCAATACTCGCGTTGATTATCTTACGCGTGATTTTCTCATTTCACAAATTCATCGAATCCATTCTACAGCAACATCAGCTGTTCAATTCGATCTCAGTTTGCAAAATTTCACGACCCATGATATTGATCAGTTGCAAAATATTGCTGTTCGTATTTCGAATCCATCATCACAACCAGATACACCGTGCCTTATGCTAGCTGCTCATTATGACTCTGGTACTTTTAAATAGGAATACAATTGAAAAAAAGATTTTTCTCTTTTATCTTGCATATATATAGTGGAATTCAGTCCAGGTGGTAGTGACGACGGTTCAGGCGTTGTTACTCTTCTGGAAGTTCTCACGAATCTGGTCAACGATCCCACCATCACATTCGATCAAGTTCATCTCATTGTCTTATTCACCAGTGCTGAAGAACTGAGTTTGGGAGGCGCTGCAGCATTCATCAGTAATCATACCTGGAAAGCAAGTGTCCGACGATTCATTAATATTGATTCAACTGGTGGCAACAGCAAAGCCATTCTTTTTCGTGTCAAACCATCACAGGTCTGTCTATATTTCTTCTCGAACACTCTTCTTTTATCGTTCAAACAAATCTTCGTAGCTTGTTGTCGACTATGCAAGAGTACCAAGACCTCATGCCAATGTCATTGGAAATGAAATTCTGGAGTTGCTCGGAAGGGACACAGATTACAGCGAGTTTGCCACGAGAGGTTCATTGTCCGGATACGATTTTGCATTCTACCTCGATGGTTACAGTTATCATACGTTACTCGATCGACCATCAACTGTCGAAGAAGGTGCTCTGCAGCATCTAGGCGAGAATACACTTGCTCTATCCCGTGAGATTCTTCTCGGTCGTGTCGATCTTCAACAGTCATACAGCATCGTAGACGAAGTTCATTTTGTCTATTTTGATCTGGTCGGTCGACATCTAATTACCTACAAAATGTCTACATCGACCATCGTACAAGCTATTCTTATCGGATTAGTTTTTCTCGTTGGTATTCTGATGATTGTACTCGATCATCTCTGGCAACGACAACATTCTTCATCGACCGATTCTCTTTCTCTCTACTTCTACTTCAATTATGCTATCATCATGCGAATCGCGTTCATTTTCATTTTCGTCTTATCGTCTCTACTTTCAATAATCATCGGTATTCTATTTCCCGTTATCATTGCATTTCTCATATCGAAGATTCAACCTCTGTCATGGTTCGGTAATTCAGCTTTGGCCTTCTTTCTCTTTGGTCTTCCATGTTTGATCGGTATAATTTCTGCAGAAGCACTCTGGGCAGTATGTTATCGATGGATTCTATCGAAATGGCCAAAAAAAGACTCAAGTCACATGAAACCAGTCGATATGGATCCTGTGAATCGACGTAACTTCGACTTCGAACGACATTTTGCACTACTTCTTGTCTATACTATATTTATGCTCGTTTCAATTTGTCTTGGTTACCGTTCTCTCTATATTATTCTTATCTGGTCAATTTTTGTCTGTCCAATTTATCTATTATTGATACTGACTGAATTCAGTTTTCGTTGGATCCATTATCCAGTACCACGGTTTTTCGGCGAACAACGATGGTACTGGACATTTGCACCTTACATTACTTCATTATTACCACTCATTCATTCATTCGAAATGGCAAGTCGTCTTCTTCGTATGACAATTCCGATGATGGGTCGCATGTTTCAAACAATACCTGTACCACACGATGTTGTGGTCAGTGTTCTCATAGCTCTCCTAGCCGCTCTATTCTTCCTCATCTTTATTCCGAACATGCAACGAACATTGTATTTTGGTCGAACATTAATTTTGCTTGTCTTCACTTTTCTCATCGTCTTCATTATTGCTTGTACACGATATCCATTCACCAATACATGCCCAAAAATTGTCACTGTCCAACATGTATCACAATCGATCTATCGAATCGAGATTCCTGTCAACCTACCTGTTCTCGTTCCACTCATTTCCCGTTCAGCATCGATTACACTTGCATCCTTTGATAATATTGGTCTATCGCCGATTCTCGACGAGTTTTCAACTAAAACAGGTCAGTCATTAGTAAATCGACAGTGTACAAAACCAACAAATTGCACATTCGATGATACATTCAATCGTACCATCGCTATCAAAGAAGTCGAATTAATACCAATAACGAAGACTATGAATTATAAATTGATATTTCGACATGTTCTCTCTTATCAGATTGGAGTTTCTTCGATGAACGTAACCAATTTGACTGTACAGAACTCATCACTGAAGCCAAGAACAGAGACGATCGTCATTGTGCAGCCATTTTCTTTAATGTCGAACTTTAGTATTGAAATGAAAATTGAACGGTGCGATATTGCAGATTCACCATTTCTCATGTCTCTGATTCGTGCAATACCTTATGTGGTTATGTGGGGACGTGGTAGATGTCAGACGATCCTCGACATAGTCACACTGGTGATTACTGTTGCATGAAAATTTTCTTTCTTAGAAAAAAAAAACTTCTGCTCTACTAATAAAATCGAATAAATCAGCTTACTTGACGTTTGTAGACAATGGATTTTAGAAAAAAGTTGGACGCATCAACCTATCAACACTGGAAGACACATGCTATCTGGCCCAAAAAAATATAGTTTTCATCGAAAAAAAGCGTTGTCATCGATGTTCATCGATGAAATATCTTGATATTCATGAAATTTCATCGATCTTTTAGAAACACAAGTGATTGTTGATTATTTGTATCAATTATTAGCACGGATATTTGGCATTTTGAAAAAGATTAGTTTATCTATGAATAATTCTCGATTCATATGAGTGTGTCAAAGTAGATTTTGTGTGATTTAAGAAGAAAATTGACAAGGCTCAGATTATCTACATATGATTCAGAAACTTTCAAAGATTGGGACCACGAGCAAAAGTAACAGTCGACTTCGACCAGTGACAAAGGCAACTACAAGGTTTTGATCACGGAACGGGATACATGTAGGATTGTAGAGAAAAATCTCCTCTATCCAATGTTGTATGTGTTGTCAAGTTCGATTGCATATACAGTTGAGTCGTCGATTAATGACACTACCTTCGCCCCGACCACTGTAGAATACGATAAAAGTAGCATAATCTATCGACAACTCAACGACACGCAACGGAACTTAACAATTCACGCACCATTGTATATAAGATGGTTTCCTTTATACATCTATATACATATATGTACCATCCAGGGGTCAAAAATTAATGTGAGGAGGCAGGTGTGGGTGCCGATTTCGAGAATACCTATATCCCTGATAGACAATTACACATACTCACTTCTGTATTATGAAAATATCTTGATTTAGTTCATGTAAATAAATTGCTTTTTTTCTATTCAGTGTTACATCTCAAATTCCAGCAAGTATATTTATCAAAAGACGAGTATCCAATGAAATCAATGCTGATGAAGTAGTAATTGTAACTAAAGTGTCATGTGTAAATCAAGTGAATCGATTGATGGATTATTTAGATATTTTTAAAAGTGTAAGAAAACCGTTTCTATTAAAGACAATATTCAAGATGTTTCATACATGAATGATGATTTAAGTTTCTTTTTTTAGTTTATCAAGAAAGCAAAAGTCAATTAATGATTTCTTTCTCTCATTATTTAATCAATGGAATCATTTTGAAAAAAGAGAGAATCATTGAGAGATAATTCTACAAGGATCGACTTCACCAAAATAAAATAACATACGAAAAAAGAAATTATCTATGTTACCATTCTAGTATAATGTTATTTCATGCATTTTATTTTTGTTTTATTCAAATATAATCTTTCAGAAAATCATCGAAATTAGCAAAGATGATGTTTAGTATATCAAGAATCTTTCTTTTTTTCTTTACTTCTATACATGGCTCTTAAATAAAAGAGTTGAATGCTGTATTTCATTTTGATATAATAACATAGATTAGTAAACTGTTGATCAATCATAAATCATCTCCACGAAGCAAAAGACTTGAATAGACACTTCAATATTTAGTGAATGGTTGCAATTTTTTTTATGCAATGAATTTGATATGAATTAATGTATCAAATAAGTTTGATAAATTAACGAAAAATAATAATATTGAAATGCATCTATCTGAGGAAAATAATCATATAAGAGAGATTTCAACGAATGGTTACATATATTTGTTTTTCACTTTCTGTAGTTGAATTCGTAAAGCCAAATCTATCTTAGGATTGAAGTGAGCTTACCGATTGATTTTATTTATTCAATTCATTTAAAGAAGTTAACATCGAACAAATAAAATGTTTAAACACCCCATCTTTGCTTATGCAAGAAGTGCAAGTGAGTCATACAGCATTGTTTCTTACGACTTTAGCATTTAATGTGTTAAAACATCGTTTGCCGTTTATCTATCTGTATGGCACATATAATGCAAGTCTTTGGTACTTTTTACCTGTATGAATTATTGAAAAAATAAAGGCGCGAAAATGTTATTATTTTGATGATGATGCTAAATGAAAAGCAAAATGATTCACAATTATGATTTGAAAGACTATTTCATGTTGGTACAGCAAACATGGTTATGAACGATGCTTGGTCAATGAGAAACAATGAATAAGACTTTGCTGTTGTTATGGTAATATGGAAATATTATTAACAGAAATTGTAGCCAGTGAGTTTTACAAAAGAAATCAATCCATATAATAAATTTGTTAGCTTTGAGTTTCTTATTTTTCAGTCGAAATGTATTTTCATTTCATGAAAAACACAAGCAAAATTATGTTACTGAAGATTAATTTCTTAATTTATTTCATTGATGTTTTATAAACTACCCAAATTGACGTTTAGACTGCCATATTAAAACTTTCGTCACCAGAGACGTTATTTCAGAACCAAGTGTGAATGTCAAATTGAATCGTTTTTATTTTTTTTCTCATCTTCTGAATAAGTCTCTATGGAAGTTTATTTGATATCATATTTATATTTTATTTAATCCTAGAACTGTGAGTATCATATTATATCTTATCAGAGATGTCCATTGCGGCTGAGAATCTGCCGCCGCTACAATGATTTTCAAAAAAAATCCTTTGATTTTCCAGACTGGGACTGATGTCAACTAGAACTGCTACTGCTAATCGATCACATCCGTTAAGTCTTACAGTATGGTACACATTAACGTCGAGATTCTGTTTTAATTCATGAGTTTTTGAAGCTTCTTCTTAAAAAAGCTGCCGTCGCCTCCGCCA